CTCTTGGCCTCGTTCCGTATCGCCTCGCCAAGGGGGAGTGTTGAAGCGCCTAGTGGCTCTGGCTCGGCGTTCTGCCCGGCATGGACTTAAGGTGGACATCTTAGATTAGGCGCTGCTAATACGTAGATAGTGATTGGACAATCATATGTAGTGCTCCCACGCACAGACCTCTTTATGGCAGGCTTCCCCATTCTAGCGGACTTTCAATTTTTGCTTCCTTTTAGTATATAAGGACTCCTCTCGCATCCCCACTCTGCGTGCTCTTTCCCTTCGCACTCAGAGTAAGTCCCCTTCGTCGCCCTTGCGCATTATGTAGTATGCTCACCGGACCCCTGTCTAGCTAACACCGTGTGTATTAGGTACATAGCTATACAGCGTGCTCTTTCCCTTCGCACTCAGACTAACACCGTGTGTATTAGATCGTGCCCGCGTGCCACTCGCCAGTTCGCGCTCGCGCAGCCCAGTAGTCGTATCACGACAATATGGCAATTGATGTAATCTTATGCTAACTCATACATCCACAAGTGCGGTACAATTGCCATAAAACACTGTCCGTATACAGAAAATTTCAAGTTACCCTCGGTGCACAGACTCTGCAGCGTGAGACGCGGAGACACCCTCAGACTACAGGTTGCGTGGATTTCCCGCCTCGTCCGCAGATGATGATTCTGGGAGATATGTTTGCTGTGCCCCATGAACGCAGTTAGCTCTTGAGTGAGATGCGCATGCACTAAGGTCGGTACGTACCATGGGGATCGAGCTCACGCTCCGATGTAGTAACCAGTCAGTCTCCTCGTCGTCCCCGCCTGCCACCACCTGGGAGTATGATGGGTTATGCAACGGGAGAACAGGGAGGGCAACATTAGAAAGGTCGATCGGGAATTTGTCAGTGATGTCTGGACTTGGCATCGAAGTCGTAGCAATGATGTCTGGAATTGGCATCGGAGGGGCCGAAGTCGCAACCGTATAGGTCCGAGTCGGGACTAGTTCGGATAAGCGATTCAAGGAAGGCATGATGTCCTCGAACGCACGCTGCTCTTCGCAGGTCTCCATGAGATTCTGAACGAGTGCCTGAGCTATTTCGATAGGTAGCCGATCGCCTTGTGCCAGAGTCAGGAGGGGGTCTACGATGGACTTCATCGCCTTGCGAGTGACGACCAGTACTTGGTCCGGTTGCTTCAGGGATAAATTGGCCATATATCGAATTCCCTGCCGTTGGGCGACGACAAAGCGATCGAACTCCTCTAGCAGATGACGGATATTCTCTGGCTTGTCATATGTGGCATGCTCGTCTTGCGAAACGGCATGGAGAGACGCGGCGACAGCTCCGAGCGCCATGTCCACTGTTTGTTCGAGGTAGTCGTTCTCAAACCGTTGATTAATCTCAACCAGCCACGGGATGCGTTTGGTTGCTAATGAGACCATCCGGTCTACTTCTAACACACAAATACTTTAAATGAGTACCAGTAATTGTGTCAACAGTACAAGAACATACCGATCGAGTTGAATTTATATAGACCTGTCACGGCGGACTCGAAGAGGCACACGGTAGGATACCGAAGTACGTCGTAATCATCACTCGACTCGATGAGATCGAGGCCGGTATCTTGTGATTCACATATTTCGATCAGTAACGGGACCCAGATAGGTCGCAATTGACTGGCGAAATCGGCCTTGTATATCCAAGTTAACAAAATGAGAATACAGGCCATGTCCTTGTCCTTGTATACCCAGTCGCGAGATGACCATTCGTCCGGTAATGTCTTGAGCAAGAATTGATGGTACGTGTCGGAGAAAGCACGGTTGACCCTAGACAAAATATTCAGGGCAATCGGCGACCTGTGGTCCAATAGGGCGAAGTCTTCGTCGCTGACACCGAAGTAAAACGACATCCATTTCACCATAACGCGCGTTCGCTCAGGAATAGGGAGCGACAGAAGACAGGGCTCGAGGCGGTCCAGCTGGCTGCGCGCAACGGCTGCAGGTGCCCGTGCCAGCGCATCACCCCGGCCACGCACAACATCTCCTTCCTCCTTCTTCGCCAACTGTTTGACCTCCCGCTTGATCCAGAAGTCCTGGTCGGAGTCGAATGCAGCTCCAACGTATCGCGCAACTAATTCGATAGCCCAGTTAAAGCCACGCTCAGGACCCAGACTTTTCATATTGAAGTCTGCGATGCCCTCCGAATTGCACATCTTGATAAGAAGGCCGATAGCCAAGAAAGGAATGACAACCAAGAACATGGCTAGGAGTAGAAGTAATATTATGCACCACCGCAGGAAAAACACCAATGAGGGGACGAGTGGCGACTTGTATGGGCAATGCGGCCAGATAAGCGGCAGAGGTAAAGAGGCAGCGTACAGGAAGAAGGGCGCTCCAGCGACCACGGCATATGCAGTTGTGATTGGGTGGTTGAGAGATCGGAGGAGTTGGTAGAGACCTGTCAGGAACAAGACGACGGAGACTTGTAAACTGACGGGCAGGAGGATGATAATATTCGGCAATTGCCACAGAACGAGTTGGTCGGTGCGGTATTCCCAGAGCCGAATGCTGTCAAGGACAGGTAGATGCCCCGGGAGAGGGAGAGCGCGAAGCCATTGTTGGACGGCGATGGAGAAGAATGCTGCAAGGAGACTGAGGGTAAGGCTGAGAAACCATAGCATGTTGATATTCACGTCGGTGCTATCTGGTTGAAAGACAGTTGAGGTAATATTCTGCGGTGCGGGCGGAGCGGTGGAGTTGATGAAGCCGGGAGACGTGGAGAATGAAGCCATCTGGGCAGACATTTGCAGAAGCAATCTGTTGGTCGTATCCGCGGGGTCTTCTTGTAGCCAGGAAAATGACTCGACTGTGAATCCAGTTACGACAGCAGAGAACAAGCCGGCCTACAGTCGAATTAGTATACGTAAATTGAAGGACGTGTATGCGAACTCACAAAAACGAGGAGGTTGTCCAGTTCGCCCTTCCACTTCTCCGTCTTGGTCTGATCGCACTCCTCGGCTGAGTCGAGCAGGAAGGTCCACGCTGACTTGACCTCCGGTTGCTACACGTGTCATTTAACCTTGCGCCTGCCTAGATTGCTTATGTAACGTACTGAGGAGTCCTGACGCTTGACCTCTTCGCGATATGAAGAAGACTGCATGTAGATACTTGATGATCGGAATGTGTCAAGCAGGCTGCAGGGAACCACATACCCCTGCTGGATCTGAGTCCTTATGAGGAGAAGGCGCTCCTGCCCCGTCAGAGGCGATTCTGGGCTCGGAGGCCTGGTCTACATCAGGCTTAAAACGGCAGAGTTATATAGGCAGGTCTTATAGGTGAACATTTGCACTCACTAGCATGCTTGTAGGCTCTAGGTCTCGGTTTGATTCTCCGGTCGACGCTCCGTTGATGTCTCCGGGCATTGAGACTGACATTGCACCAGTGTAGACCTGCAAGATCGATCAGAGAAGGCCCCACATGTCGAGAGATACGGCAGAACGCTCACTGTGTGGGTACCTTCGATGTCCATCGCCAGCAAGATGGTGGGCTGTGAGGTAGACAGGAGGAGTACGCAGCCTGGGAACGTCTGCGATTGAGTTTTCCACAAATTGAATGGAACGGAGCGCTGTTTCCATGACTGCCGCTGGTACTGAGATATCATACAGTACACGCCGAAAACATCGATTTCATTGGCTGGCAAATTGCAGGGGGTGTGCCGCGAGGCAGCACCAAGCAGGAAACCTTGGCATACGTGCGTAATGGTGAAGGGAGTAGAATTCTGAAATTCGTCGAGACTATACACAAGTATCAGTGCCTTGGTCAATTTAGAACGTAGCAGTAAACTCCATGTCCGCTTCCGCTGCTCAATCTCATTCTCTACCCAACTCCCCAAGTCAGACAAGTCAGGCTCTGGGAAGAACGACATCTCCTCCTTCCTCAGGCTATCATGCGTGATGATGACACCAGCGTTCGGGTAGCCCGTATCCAGTTCTATCAGCCGCTTCACGGTCTTCCGCGCCAACTTCCGCGCCAACGCGATGACACAATGACCACGCTCGCTGATGAGTCGCTCGCCGGGAGAATGGCAGAGCCTGTTGTGGCATGTGTCGCCAGCGAGGAAGACGAAGCTGTCTGGCCCAACGCGTGCCGCTGCGGCGAGGTGCCCCGGGAAATGCCCCGGCGAGTCGACCAGGTACAGCGACCCGTCGCCGTACGAGTTAACCGCACGCTCGTACGGTCCCCACGGCGCGACCTGCCTGTCCTTTTTCTTCAGGTCCGCAAAGTCGATGAAGTCTACGTGCATGTTTGAAGGGAGCGCCATGAACGGGCTGTCTGGGTTAGAGGGCCACGCGTCTTCGAGGAGCACCTTGGCGTCAGAGCCGAGGACGATCTCGGCGTTCGTGAAGGGGGTCGGATCGCCGACGGGGTCCCAGTGGAGGTGACTGCACACCGAGTTCAGCGGTTAGGTCAGGACGGACAGCATATCATGTGTTCTCACCTGTAGATGATCTTCGTAATCTCTGCCGGATCGACCCCGTCTTTCCTCAGCACATCAACTATGTCCTCGCTACAGTAGCCGTATACTCTGTACTCGTCTAAGATGGACTTGACTGCAGGAGGCTATCCTTTCCCATGCTATCCTTGCTGCTGATCAGGGATGCATCCGAATTGTCGACAGATGACTCGCCTTGCGCATGCCCAAGTCGAACAACGTCCGCCCATGTGTGGGGTGCGTGATGAGGAAAGCGATGAAGGGGAATCTCTGACCCGACTTCCGAAGGCTCATGCACGCTATCTTGAAAGATTTGTCTATAAGGATACCGCGGCTCTCCAGCCAGCAGGGTGTGTACAGTCAGATAAGTTTGGCTGGTCGTGTCTGGAGGGAAAGTGTGGACATGATGGCTGTCGTAGGTGAGAACGGTGACTGCGTCCAACCCATAGCTTAGACGTGCTGAACATGGGGAAACCAGGGCCCATGAGACGGTCTATCTTCTCCCAAAAGCACAAGTCGCACATGTGTTTGGCAACCACGCAGATACCAGAGATCACCAGTTGGAACCCGCTGCCGGTAGTGGTTGAGGGTCCGGTCCTAAGGACCGGTCGGGACCGGGACTTGGACTGAGACTGGACTGATCAGGACTGGGTATGGTCCAGTCCTACGTCAGTCCAGTCTTGGTCACAGTCCTTGGTCCTAGATGGCGCTGGGTGCTTTTAGGACTGGTCATGACCAGTCAGGACCAGTCACAGACCAATATAAAGTAACAAAAATGCAGCACCCAGAAAGCAGCTTGGCTACTGGTACATGTATATCTTAGTAATTTCTGAACTGCAACCATGCCCTTGTAGGCTTGTCCAAGTACACAGCCAGCTTAAGCACAGATTAATACATTTTTTAAAACTCTTTTTATGATTTATTCAAGTTTGGATGTGGTTACTGCACATAATCAGCTAAAGCCATGACCATGGGAAGATGGAGCCTGAGTGTAGAGATAACAAGGCTCTCAAGGATATGGAGGTTTTATACAAAAATGCTGAGAATGATGAAAGTGGTGCATGATACCCTTCTTCTCTATTTAGAATCCAGCCGTGTGAGCAGAGCATTGTTTTCTTTGCTGAATATAGTAATGTGCAGCCTTGGCTCAAAGCTTGCAAGCCCAGCCCAAAAAAACCTGACCAGAGCCTGGCCTGGCAGTGGGCTCAAGGCCAGGCTTGAGTCAGTGGGCAGTCTCTGCTAGTGTGAACTTATCCTAAGCTTGGTAACTTGGGCTGGGCTCAGGCTCAGGCTCAGGCTTGGGGTCAGGGCTCAGCCCAACATTGCCATGGGCCCAATCCTGGGCTTTAAGCTCAAGCTGTGCCTGCATATCACTAGCTGAATATTTGTTTTGATTTTTAAGTGTACAGTGTTCACCGGTGCCTTGTGCGCACATTGTTTACCTATATTTGCCCATATACAATATTGCCTTTCATTCATATGTATGACATAACATGAAGTAGCTGTCTACCTGCCAAATACCTCTCTTGAACCTTAACAACACAGACCACAGCTGTGGCTATTTTTTTGAGCTCCTGCCTTTGAGTTCATCAAATATTCAGCCATGTCAAACACTCCCTCAATATCAGACTCTACGCAACAGTATTTCTGTGAGGCCTTACAGTACATAAAGACAGTCTGGCAATGCATGAATGGTATATAGCACTTCTGAGATAGGCATCTGGTACACTCTTCTGGCCTTCTTGAGACTCACACACTGTCTTCTCTTTGACTCATTAGGCTGAGTAGTGTGGTCTCAAAACTGATTTGTCCAGAAATTAGCTTAGTATACTGCTAGTCTACCTGTACATGCAGTTCAAAATCAAAATTTGTTTATTTGTGTCATATTTATCAGGGCAGGACTGGTCTGAGCTGGTCTGAATCGGTCTAAGACCGCATTTGGTCCTAGACTGGTTATGACCGGTCCAGGACTGCACGGAGGACTGTACAGGACCAGGACCCAGTCTTGGTCCGGTCCTGCACAAACAGATGCTGGTCCTTGACCAGTCTGAGTCCTGGTCCCACCCAATTTTAAAAAAAGACTGGACCGGACCGGACCCTCAACCACTAGCTGCCGGACAGGACATGGAGAGAGCTGATGGATACGGGACCTTGTAGAATTTTTCTCGGCTTGATTGGTGGTATCTTCAATATGAAGGAAGGCATAGCACGACATAAGACATCCAGAGGGGGGGGGG